AGTCAACACCGCGGGGTCACTACACCGCATGGAAGTTACTACCTAAAAGTCGGTACTAACCGAGTTTGGGTACCTTCCTACCGGCCCTTACACGAATTGCTGACGCAGGAAGTACACGACTCCAACCTCTCCGGGCATTTTGGCGCCGACAAAACATTGAAGCTGCTGCAACGGAATTACTACTGGCCCGACATGGCGTCGGACGTGCAGCGCTATGTGTCCGCCTGCCCGACCTGCCAGGCAATGAAGTCATCACGACAACGCCCAGCTGGATTACTGCAGCCCCTCGAGCCACCCAAACGACCGTGGCAACAGGTGACTATGGATTTCGTCACGGGCCTTCCAGCTGGCGCAAGTGGCAATGACTCCGTGCTCGTCGTCGTTGATCGCTTAACGAAAATGGCGCATTTCGCGCCCTGCCGTACAACGATCACAGCCGAAGAAACAGCGCGACTCTTCATCTCAACCGTCGTACGCCTACACGGGTTACCTTTGGCGATCATCACCGATCGAGATCCGAAATTCACGTCGAAATTTTGGCAGGAGACATGGGCACAGTACGGCACCCGCCTGCAATTTTCGTCGTCCCACCACCCGCAAACCGACGGACAAACAGAGAGGACAAACCAAACGATGGAGCAGCTGATTCGCACGAACTGCCCGGACATCACCAAGTGGGAGGAGTTCCTTCCCATGCTCGAGTTTGCGTACAATAACGCCCCATCTGCAACGACCAAGCAGTCACCCTTCTACCTCAATTACGGGATTGACCCGGTGGTACCCTCATCAACGACTCCCGACAACCCGGTCCCCCGGTCACAGCAGTTTATTTCGGAGCTCCAGGCAGTGCGCGCCAAAGCAGCGGACTTTATCCGAAAAGCAAATTCGAACGCCAGCCGCTACGCTGACCAACATCGCCGCAATTTACCTTTTCGCGAGGGGCAGATGGTTCTCCTGGACACCAAAAACCTCAAACTGCCCCAACCTGCAAAACTACGTCCACGTTACGTGGGGCCCTTCCGCGTCATTCGGATGCTGACACCGGTCACTGCGAAACTTCTCCTCCCGGACGACTGGCATATTCAAGACGCTTTCTACGTCAGTCTACTTCGCCACTACGTGGCACCCCAGTCATCTGACGTCGCTTGACCCCACCAGGCGCCAAGTGTCCGACCGGTGGCAGACCCCACCCTCCAACCTTGGAAGATCTTGAATCATCGCATTCGTGCGACCCCCGCTGGACGACACGTCGATTTTCTTCTGCGCTGGGTGGATCGCACGACCGACGACGACACGTGGGTCCCGGCTGACTCACTACAAGGGCACTCTGTCAGAACTTATAGCTTATGCTTTTGTGTAGGCTATAGTGGGGTATCCCATAGGGGGTACAACCCAATTAGGGTTGGTACTTGTACTCACACATTTCATAGTTCATTCATTCCTGTTCTTTAACTTCACATGGTATAGAGCAGGTTCCCCTGTGGGAACTTCGCCTGGGGCCCACCACTCGATTTTTTTTTTTCCTGCCCGAAGCGCACTCGTTCCGAGTCGCGCCTCGGGCCTCTCTCTCACCGAGCCGCCCTAGCGGCCGACCCTACGATCGCGGCCCTGCCGCCCTACCCACTGCGGTCCCGCCGCCCTTCACTCTTGCGGCCCCGCCGCCCTTACCTCGCGGCCTCGCCGCCCTACTCTCGCGGCCCCGCCGCCCCTTTGATCGCGGCCCCGCCGCCCCTTTGATCGCGGCCCCGCCCCCCCCCTTTGATCGCGGCCCCGCCGCCCCTTTGATCGCGGCCCCAGCCGCCCCTTTGATCGCGGCCCCGCCGCCCCTTGATCGCGGCCCCGCCCCCCCTTTGATCGCGGCCCCAGCTGCCCTTTCTAGCGGCCCCACCGCCCTTCCTCGCGGCCCCGCCGCCCGGTCGAGCGGCCCCGCCGCCCTTCCTCGCGGCCCCGCTGCTCCGCCGCGCGGCCCTACTGCCGCCCTACCAACGGCCCGGCCGCCTCCCTACCTGCGGCCTTGCTGCCGCCCTACCTGCGGCCCACCCGCCGCTCTACCTGCGGCCCACACGCCGCCCGATCTGCGGCCCACCCGCCGCCCTACCTGCGGCCCTTCCGCCGCCCTACCTGCGGCCCACCAGCCGCCCTACCTGCGGCCCTACCGCCGCCCTACCTGCGGCCCACCAGCCGCCCCGCCTGCGGCCCTACCGCCGCCCTACCTGCGGCCCACCCGCCGCCCTACCTGCGGCCCACCCGCCGCCCTACCTTCGGCCCACCCGCCGCTCTACCTGCGGCCCACACGCCGCCCTACCTTCACTGCCCAGCCGCCCTACCTACGCGGCCCAGCATCAGCCGAGCCGCCCAGCAGCAGCCGAGCCGCCCAGCAGCAGCCGAGCCGCCCAGGAGCCGCCGAGCCGCCCTGCATCAGCCGAGCCGCCCAGCAGCAGCCGAGCCGCCCAGCAGCAGCCGAGCCGCCCGGGAGCAGCCGAGCCGCCCAGGAGCCGCCGAGCCGCCCAGCAGCAGGCGAGCCGCCCAGCAGCAGCCGAGCCGCCCAGGAGCCGCCGAGCCGCCCTGCTACCGGACCGCCCGACCTGTCCTGTCTGGTAAGCACGTCACCGCCGCACTGCTACTGCGTGCCCTTCCCCACGGCTTGCACTGCTAGTCTGTCGTCATGGCTACCCCCAGTGTCCTCGCTTTTGACGCTGAGGGTCGAGCCATTGACTTTGAGGTCTGGGTCGACGACCTGCAGTTGTTTTTACACTGCGATAGGGCAGACGGTCTTTCTCTCTTTGACCTCACCTCTGGCGCCTCTCCTGCTCCTGCTGCTGATGCTGACCCCACTGTTCGCTCTCAGTGGGCCACCCGCGATGCTGCTGCACGTCTTGCTGTGTGTCGCCACTTGCCCACCACTGAGCACGCGCACTTTAGTCAGTACAAGAGTGCTCAGACCTTGTACGACGCTGTAGTTGCGCGCTACTCTTCCCCTGCCACTGCTGCACTGAGCCGTCTCATGCTACCGTACCTCTTTCCTGACCTCACTGCCTTTCCCACTGTCGCTGACCTCGTTACGCACCTCCGCACTAGTGACACTCGCTACCGCGCCGCCCTTCCTGCTGAGTTCTGCGCCAAGAACCCCCCCCCCATATACATCGCTCTCTATTACATAGTCACTCGTCTCCCTGACTCCTCGAAGAAGTGAAACTGCGTAATTAATGCGCGTAGCGTCGTCATTAACTCCGGCTGCAGTAAAGAAGACTTCGACCCCAAACAGCCACCCTTTTACCGTAACCGTTTTGTCCGTAGGATTAAACGGAGGTGGATTGACGGGCTTGATTTTGATCGTCGTCACTGCTACTGGAGTTGCTGCCGTTCGCTGCCTATCCTCTTCTTCGAAGTCACGTGTGAGCGCATCCAATGGATTGCTCATCGCCTGACTGTTGCCCTCGCCTTCGTCCACAGGCGACTCCTGACGCGCTTCACCTCGCGTCTGGCGCAGTTCGGCGTTTTCCTCTTGTAGGGTCGTCACTTCCGCCATTAATGCCTTCATGCTCTCCTGCATTTCTGCCACTTGCGCCATCATCCGGTTAACAGCTTCCTGATCCATGTGCCTAACGCTTCGCCTGGTGGGCAGTCGAGTCTCCGTGGCCTTCAGGCAAATGAAAACACGAACTATCGGAGTCGGGCAGGATTGAATTAACAATCCCTGCAGCCAACCGTCGTGTAGTCACTAAACCAGCCACACCCTATGCCACCAAACTACCCTCGGAAAAGCGGGGTGAACTAGGAAAGTAGCTCTGATACCAGGTGTTATGAGTTGTAAAAGAGAGTGCGCAGGTAAACGAATAACGAAGATGTGACTGAATGAGTCGCGAATACAAAGAATGTCCAGACTAATATAGAACTACGCTAGCTAGGCGAGAACCTCGGACAAGCGAGGTTGGGTGCGGGTTTGGCGATGAAAAAACCGAAGGCGACGCGAGGAGCCTCGGCAGCGTTGAAATCGGCCGAACGTGCGAACTCCGAAAATCGGGTTGTACGCGAAGCAGTCTACCCCGATAAGGAATTCGGGAAAATTCCTTACAGCCTGATTCCCAAACACCCCTCACTAGTCGCAGTTGACTGGTGTTTCGCTTGGTCTGTACCCTGAGCTACATTCTTGAGAATTAACGAAAATGTTACAATAACTATGCACCCTGCACCAACGCCTCGCCCGCCCTCTCACTCTCGCCCCTCTCGCCGACACCTACTCCATACATGCCTGTCTCTCATGTTGGTTCTTGAACAGCGCTAGCCGCGCCAGCTTGCGTTCAATCGCGGCGACCCTCACCTCTCATTACTGTCTCGCCACCAAACGCGGCCTCATCTCGCATCCGTTCAGGCTCGCCTCTCTTCCCCTCGCCTAGCCTCCGCTCGCGGTTTCACGAGCTCTCGCACTCTCACATTCGTCGCGCCCGCTCGCACACACTCCCTCTCACAAGGCGCCGGTTCCGCTAATACACACTCACACACACCCGACAACCGCCCGCCAGCTTTATCAAGAGGCCCGACTGGCCTCCAATACTCGTCTCGCCTCCCCTCCTCCCCGCACACCCTTCCTTTTCGCCCACGGCTTTCATTTCCACCTCAATCCTCTCGCCATCCCTTTTCTTTCCGTTCCCGCCCCACACTTCCATTTTCTTCGCTTGCATTGCTAAGTCCCTGGTTGCGACCCCAAATCTGGTTATGATAGCCTTGTATCACCGATCCTTAAAAACAAAGTAATCTCAGCAACAAACCCAAGAAACCAACCCGCAACCTATACACTCCCAAAACCCCACCAGTAGATCTCTGAAGACAAAACGAAACCCGGCAAAATCCAAACCCGTAACATCAACCCTCCCATGTCCATATCGTCACTGGAATCAGCCCCAGCACTAGCATCGGGCAAGGTCCCACAAGTAGCTGCTCCTACCCTGCTTTCATTCCTCCCCCTCCCCCTTCTCACGCTTCTCCTTCAGCTGACGCTTCTAGTGCTTCTTTCCCTCCTCGCGCTTCGCGCCCTCCTCACGCTTCCCGCCCTTCTCGTTCAGCTCACGCGGCTTCTCGTGCTTCTCGCGCTTCTCGCACTTCTTCAGGCTCCTCCGGGTGTCCGCAGCATCAGCATCAGCATCTCCCTCCGCCAGCGGGGGGAGCTGGTCGACCTCCGCAATGCTGCGACCGGGCGCGCCATCAGAGCCAACTGAATCAGCACCAGCGTCGGCAGGGGTCTCAGCACCAGGTGCCGTCCCACCAGGTGCTGCTGCCTTGCTTGCATTCTTTTTCCCCTTCTTCCCCTTCTTGCATTTCTTACCCTTTTTCACCTTCTTGCACTTCTTCCCCTTCTTTAGGCTCCTCCGCGTGTCCGCAGCATCAGCATCAGCATCTCCCTCCGCCAGCGGGGGAAACTGGTCGACCTCCGCCATGCTGCGACCAGGCGCGCCATCACAGCCAACTGAATCAGCACCACCGTCGGCAGGGGTCTCAGCACCAGGTGCCGTCCCACCAGGTGCTGCTGCCTTGCTTGCGTTCTTTTTCCCCTTCTTCCCCTTCTTGCATTTCTTGCCCTTTTTCCCCTTCTTGCATTTCTTGCCCTTTTCCCCCTTCTTGCACTTCTTCCCCTTCTTCAGGCTCCTCCGCGTGTCCGCAGCATTAGCATCAGCATCTCCCTCCGCCAGCGGGGGAAGCTGGTCGACCTCCGCCATGCTGCGACCAGGCGCGCCATCAGAGCCAACTGAATCAGCACCAGCGTCGGCAGGGGTCTCAGCACCAGGTGTTGTCCCACCAGGTGCTGCTGCCTTGCTTGCATTCTTTTTCCCCTTCTTCCCCTTCTTGCATTTCTTGCCCTTTTTCCCCTTCTTGCACTTCTTCCCCTTCTTCAGGCTCCTCCGCGTGTCCGCAGCATCAGCATCAGCATCTCCCTCCGCCAGCGGGGGGAGCTGGTCGACCTCCACCATGCTGCGACCAGGCGCGCCATCAGAGCCAACTGAATCAGCACCAGTGTCGACAGGGGTCTCAGCACCAGGTGCCGCCCCACCAGGTGCTGCTGCCTTGCTTGCATTCTTTTTCCCCTTCTTCCCCTTCTTGCATTTCTTGCCCTTTTTCCCCTTCTTGCACCTCTTCCCCTTCTTCAGGCTCCTCCGCATGTCCGCCACGTCAGCATCAGCATCGCCCTCCGCCAGCGGGGTTCATTCATTCATAGTTCATTCATTCTCGTTCAGTTCTTCTCATGGTATCAGAGCAGGTTCCCCTGTGGGAACTGCACCTAGGGCCCACCACTCGATATCTTTTTTTTTTTCCTGCCCGAAGCGCACTCATCCCGAGTCGCGCCTCGGGCAACCCTCTCACCGAGCCGCCCTAGCGGCCGGCCTTTCGATCGCGGCCCCGCCGCCCCTGCCTTCGCGGCCCCGCCGCTCCTGAACTCGCGGCCCCGCCGCTCCTGAACTCGCGGCCCCGCCGCTCCTGAACTCGCGGCCCCGCCGCCCCTCCTGTCGCGGCCCTGCCACTCGCGGCCCTCGCCGCTCCTGATCTAGCGGCCCCGCCGCCCACGACTCGCGGCCCTCGCCGCCCCTACTCTCGCGGCCCTCGCCGCCCCTGCTCTCGCGGCCCCGCCGCCCATTGCTCGCGGCCCCGCCGCTCGCGGCCCTCGCCGCCTCTGCTCTCGCGGCCCCGCCGCCCACCGCTCGCGGCCCTCGCCGCCTCTTCTCTAGCGGCCCCGCCGCCCCTGCTGTCGCAGCCCCGCCGCTCGCGGCCCTCGCCGCCTCTACTCTCGTGGCCCCGCCGCCCACTGCTCACGGCCTCGCCGTCCCTGCTGTCGCGGCCTCGCCACCCCTGCTTACGCGACACCGCCGCCCCTACACGCGGCCCCGTCGCCCCTGCTCTCGCGGCCCCGCCGCTCCTGATCTCGCGACCCCGCCGCCCCTGCTCTCGCGGCCCCGCCGCCTCTGCTCACGCGACACCGCCGCCCCTACTCACGGCCCCGTCGCCCCTGCTCTCACGGCCCCGCCGCCTGGTACCGGAGCAGCCGAGCCGCCCCGCCCGAGCCGCCCTGCACCCGAGCCGCCTTGCAGCAGCCGCCTTGCACCCGAGCCGCCCTGCCGCCGAGCCGCCCGGGAGCCGAGCCTCCCAGCAGCAGCCGAGCCGCCCAGCAGCAGCCGAGCCGCCCAGCAGCAGCCAAGCCGCCCAGCAGCAGCCGAGCCGCCCAGGAGCCGCCGAGCCGCCCTTCTGCCGAGCCGCCCGACCTGCCCTGCCCGGTGAGCACCGTACCGCTGTCACTGCGTGCCCTTTCCCTACTGCTTGCACTGCTTCGCTGTCGTAGTCATGGCTACCCCTAGTGTCCTAGCTTTTGACTTTGAGGTCTGGGTCGACGACCTGCAGCTGTTCTTATAGTGCGATAGGGCGGACGGTCTCTCTCTCTTTGAACTCACTTCTGGCGCCTCTCCTGCCCCTGCTGCTGATGCTGACCCCACTGTTCGCTCTCAGTGGGCCACCCGCGATGCTGCTGCACGTCTTGCTGTGCGTCGCCATCTCCCTACCACTGAGCGCGCGCACTTTAGTCAGTACAAGAGTGCTCAGACCTTGTACGACGCTGTAGTTGCGCGCTACTCTTCCCCTGCCACTGCTGCACTGAGCCGTCTCATGCTACCGTACCTCTTTCCTGACCTCACTGCCTTTCCCACTGTCGCTGACCTCATTACGCACCTCCGCACTAGTGACACTCGCTACCGCGCCGCCCTTCCTGCTGAGTTCTGTGCCAAGAACCCCCCCCCCATGTACATCACTCTCTACTACGTAGTCGCACGCCTCCCTGACTCCCTTCGCGTAGTCAGGGACCACTTTCTCTCAGTCTGTCCCACCACCCTCACTGTCGACCTCCTCGAGAAGGCCCTCCTAGCGGCGGAGAAGAGCATCGTTGCTTTAGGAGCCTCTCGTGGTGACCCTCGCACCCCCATCTTTGAGGGGTGCTCTCCTTCCCCCCTGCTGCCCTCTGTTGCCTCTGCTGCTGCTGCCGACCTGCTTGGTCTTGAGTCGGTCGGCGCGGCGTCTGCCCCTAGCGGGAGACGCCGCTCTGGCAAGGGCAAGGGGGGCAAGGGCGCGGGTGGAGCTGGAGGGGGCGGTGGAGGTGGCGGTGGAGGCGGTGGAGGGAGTGGGGGTGGCGGTGGGAGTGGTGGCGTAGGCGGTCGTAGTGGTGGCAGCGGCGGAGGAGGCGGTGGTGGTGGCAGCAGCGGTGGGAGTGGTGGCGGCGGTGGAGGCGGAGGAGGAGGAGGTGTTGGCGGAGGAGGTGGAGCTGGTCGGGGTGGTGCCCCGCAGCGGAGCGGCGCTGGTAGTGGTCAGCGCCAGCAGCAGCAGCAGCAGCAGCAGCAGCGTTCGCGGGACATCCCTCCGCCCCAGCAGCTCCGTGAGTGGTACACTCAGCGTCAGAGGGGTGGGGTTACTGGTCCGTGCACCTACGTCCTTCGTTCCGGCGACCGCGCGGGTGAGCAGTGTAGGGGTGCCCACCCCACCCAGCGCTGCTTTGGCCGCCTGACGGACGCTTGGCGTCACCAGTTCCCTGAGGCTAGTGATATTCCCCGCTGGGGAGAGCTGTCTAGGGCTGGTGTAGCTATCTTTGATCTTGACTTTGATGCTATCCTTGCTGCTATGTATGCTGTGACTGTTAGTAAGGAGGGTGACTGTTACCGGTGTTTCCCGCCCGACCCGGGCATTGGTACTGCTGCGCTAGGTGCTTGTGAGACTGCTGCTCTAGGTGCCAGTGTGTCTGCACTCTCAAGTACTGGTGAGGCTGCGCTTTCAGGTACTGCGTCAACTTCGTCCTCCCTCTCTTTCACGCTTGACTCAGGAGCTTCCCGCTCCTTCTTTCGAGACCGCACCACACTCACGCCGCTTAGTCGGCCGGTTGCACTCTCCCTGGCTGACCCCTCTGGGGGTCCTGTCCTCTCTCACTTTTCCACTGCCCTCCCGTGTCCGGCTGCCCCCTCGGGCACCCTGTCTGGTCTGTACCTTCCCTCATTCTCGACGAACTTGGTGAGTGGTGCGGACCTGCAGGATGCGGGGGTTCACCAGTTCACTCCTGCGAGTCAGCGGGTGACCCACTGCACGGACGCACGCACAGGCCGGCACCTGGCCACGTTCTCGCGTCGGCCGGGGTCGAGCCTCTACACCCTGACCACTGAGTCTCCACCTGTCCCTGCGTCTGGTCAGGTAGCTGCGTCAGGTCAGGTGTTTGCTGCTGCGTCCCGGTGTGGCCCTGAGTCTGCCCCCTGTTCGTGTCGCCTCCTGTCTCACGAGACTCTCCTATGGCACCACCGTCTTGGCCACCCCTCCTTGCCCCGTCTTCGGGGCATGGCTTCCCGTGTCCTTGTCTCAGGTCTTCCCCGGTCTCTCCCTCCCCTTCCTTCGGGACCAGGACCTTCCTGTGTCCACTATGTCGAGGGGCGCCTCAGGGCTGCTCCTCACTCCTCACAGTTTCCCCCGACAGAGGCTCCTCTGCAGACACTTCACATGGACGTGTGGGGCCCGGCCCGCGTCCGTGGGCAGGGTCACGAGCGCTACTTCCTGTTGGTGGTTGACGACTACTCGCGTTACACCACACTCTTCCCCTTGCGCAGCAAGGGTGATGTCACTGCGGTGCTGATCGAGTGGATCCGCGAGGCTCGTCTCCAGCTCAGGAGGAGCTTCGGCTCGGACTTTCCTGTTCTGCGTCTGCACTCTGACCGAGGTGGGGAGTTCTCCTCTCGCCTTCTACGAGACTACTGTCGCGCACGGGGGATCCACTAGACCTTTACGCTTCCGGACTCTCCACAGCAAAATGGGATTGCTGAGCGCCGCATTGGCATGGTCATGGATGTCGCTCGTACGTCCATGATGCATGCGGCTGCCCCCCATTTTCTGTGGTCGTTTGCGGTTCGGTACGCGGCGCATCAGCTCAACCTTCACCCCAGGGTCTCTCGGCCCGCGATGTCCCCAGTCTTGCTGTGGACGGGGAAGGTTGGCGATGCGTCTGCGTTCCGTGTCTGGGGATCTCGGGCGTTTGTCCGCGACTTGTCTGCGGACAAGCTGTCCCCTCGTGCTGCTCCCTGTGTCTTCCTTGGCTTCCCCCCTGACGCTCCAGGGTGGCAGTTCTACCACCCCTCCTCTCGTCGTGTTCTGTCCTCCCAGGACGTCACGTTCGACGAGTCAGTCCCCTTCTACCGCCTCTTCCCCTACCGCACTCCTACCCTCCCCCCGCCACCGGACTTCCTTGTGCCGGTTCCCCCCCCGGTAGACCCCCTCCCCCCTCAGGTTCCTGCCCCCTCAGCTGTGTCCCAGGTAGACGCAATTGACCCGGTCGAGGTTACTGGTGACTCAGGTGCTACTGCGGGTGCTGAGCCTGGGGGTGCTGACTCTGGGGGTGTTGTGCGCGTGGGTGCTGAGCCTGGGGGTGCCGAGCCTGGAGGTGCTGCTACTGGGGGTGCTGAGCCTGGGGGTGCTACTGCTGAGGGTGCTGAGCCTGGGGGTGCTGAGCTGGGGGGTGCTTTGCCTGGAGCTGCTGAGCTAGGGGGTGCTGAGACTGGGGGTGCTGAGTCTGGAGCTGCTGAGCCTGGGGGTCCTGAGTCTGGAGCTGCTGAGCCTGGGGGTGCTGCGTCTGGAGCTGCTGAGCCTGGGGTTTCTCTTGGTGCTCCATCTCGACGTGAGCCCCTCTCTCCACAGGAGCTGTGCGAGTGGTTTGCTCGCTGCTGGAGGTGTACGGCTTGAGCTGGAGCTTCTTCGACCGCCAAGGGTGCTGGTGCCGCCGGTCCCGGAGCTGCTGGGCCTGCGGGTCCTACTAGAGCTGGAGCTGCTGAGGGTGTTGGTGCTGAGACTACTGCTGTCTTTCCTGGCGGTGGTCCTGCTGCTGGTGCTGCTGGAGGTCCTGCCGCTAGAGGTGTTGGTGGCGCTGGTGCTGCCGCTGAGGGTGCTGGTGCTGTCCCTGCTGGGTCTGGAGTTGCCGCGCGGCCACGGCCGTACTTCGTTCCGCTCCTACAGCAGGTTCTTGGTCCTTCTCCTCCTGTAGAGTGTCCCGGCCTGTCCAGTCGCAGTCACTATTGGAGCCTACCTCCCCGCTGCTTGCTCCCTCTCCTTACACTGGTCCTACTGGGGGTCTTGCTGAGCGTCGTGAGCCTGCGTC